CAGGATGCTGCTTGGCCTGCTGTGTTCATCCAGCTCTGCACCTTGTTGTCTCGGATTCTCCAGCATCTGCAGTTCCTACTATCACTGATTCAACTTGTTCCCCTTACTCAGCAGAACATCTTTGGAAAAACTACTTTCAATGTTATATAAGTTCATAAACAGAATCACGTCACAATTCAACACTGGAAAGCATTCTAAATTAGCTACATTTTATTCAGGTTGTATTAAAGAGATTGTTCAAAAGTTGTTTTTTAACTTAGCATATGTTTATACAAACATCTACCATTAATTTCTCAGTACTCTTGGACAGAAATAGCATCTATCTGTTGGAAAAAAAACATTGAAGTCACACAGCTTAGCTGGAAACTTTAATCTCTGCTGCCAAATGCATACAATAATTGACAAACATACATCACTAGGAATGTAGGTGCAAAGTAAACCTCTTAATCAAGAAACACAGTTCAAAGGCAGACATTTCTCATAAATAATAGACCTTCTGTCTACAAAGAAATCAAAACAAATTGCATGGTTGGCTTAATTTCTTACCTTACCATACTTTTGCGCATACGATCCTGTGAGCAGAGAATGAAAAATGATGATTGTCTCATCGAGATCCCAGACAAATACTCGCTGTGAATATTAAGACAAAAAAATCAGTGAAATAATGCTTATTTTGAATTAATGTCACAAAACAATTGGGTCTAGGCCCGAAACGTCAGCCTTTCTGCTCCTATGATGCTGCTTGGCCTGCTGTGTTCATCCAGCCCTGCACCTTGTTGTCTCGGATTCTCCAGCATCTGCAGTTCCTACTATCTCTGATTTTATTTTACTGCTGATTGATTTGTATTTTTTTGTGTTTTCTGCTCTTTGACTCCCTTTGTGAAATTTATTATTGAAAATACTTCTTAAAAACATTTCCTGGAAAATGAGAGAACATATTACAATGCTGTAAAATTACAAACCAACTGAAGTTAAAAATACAGATATAGAATATAAATATCTTGCAATTTATCGTCCTTATATGACCACAATTTGCAGATCTATTTCTCCCATCAAAGCATTATTCCGATGTGTGTTTTAGAGGAGCAAATGTATATTTTAAGATCTTGAAGGTCTGTTTTAGTCAGATGACCAGATGAGCTTTTATTGAGTATTGTAACCATTTCCAGATCATAGAACCCCTACAGCGTGGAAACAGGCCATTCAGCCCAACAAGTCCACACCACCCCTCTGAAGAGCATCCCAACTAGACCCATTCCCCTATCCTTTCCCTGTAGCCCAGCATTTCCCATGTCTAATCCACCAAACTTACACACCCCTGAAAACTATGGGCAATTTAGCACGACCAATCCACCTAACCTGCACATCTTTGGACTGCGGGAGGAAACCCACGCAGACACAGGGAGAATGTGCAAACTCCATATAGACAATCGCCCGAGGGTGGAATTGAACCCGGGTTACTGACGCTGTGAGGTAGCAATGCTAACCACTGAGCCACCTGATGGAAATACCAAAGCAAAACAAATAGGAAGGACGGGATACCTTCATAGTTAGTGTTTCTTATTGTCTCATTTGAACTGGCGATCACTTAACAGCAGTATTGGATTTGACCACAGAAACAGGATTAAGTCATTCATCCTCCTCAGCCTGTTCGACAATTCAATTCAACTACACCGTAACCTTCCTAAAGCAAGGAAATATGATCCACATTTCTGCGAGTTGTCCTCATGATTTAATTCAGAATCTGCTATGATTCTAGTGAACCTACAATGCAAATACTAATCTGTCACTCTTTCGAAAACCTATTGCCTAAAACTGTCGGTGGAGTCTGTCAACTGCTTCAAACTGAAGCTTCACTTCTTCAGTTTTGCGTTTTACCCTCTATGGAAATGAAACCCAACCTTTCACTCTACTTTCTGGAAATGGTGTATCAACACATGAAGCTTTTAATGATTCATGTTGAAGCTTACTCAAGACCCTGCACTTCTCCTCAATACCTTATCTCTCATGGTTAAGAAGCCACTGTAGGTTTTCAAACATGTTCATGGTGAAATATAAATGTAGGGCCATTCTTTGTGTGATCAAAAGCTGATATCGTTTTTTATCACCCAATCTTGCCATTTGTGCTCTACTTTCTGTCCTCTTTTCTGATACATTGCACTTTGGCTTCTCTTCCAATGTTTTCAGAGAATTTAAAAGGTTGTTTTCCAGATTATTGCACCTGATCAGCTTGCTGAGTACTTTTCCTCTTTCAGTAGCTGGTAATCTATACCTTTAAGTCAGTGAATATTCTGCTCTGCAATGGTACTTTGGCCCAATTCTTCCACTCTTAGATGGATTTTACGTTTATGACATTCTTCTTTCTTCAGATATAGCCTGTTCAATATGACTGAGGTGTCACTGAAAAATATGGCACCACTGGTGGTTTCCATTTAATTTAAAACAATCATTGGATGTGAGTGTCACTGGCAAGGTCAGCATTTTGTGCCTACCCTTAATTTGCCTTCGACAATCACTTCGCATTGCATCAGGCTTTCTTCCCTAATAAACCAGATGTGTGTTTACAGCAATCGACAATAGTCACAATTAATGAGATAGGCTTTCAATTCCAGATTCATCTAGTGAATTTAAATTCCACCAATTGCTGTGGTGTGATCTGTATCCATGTTCACTGAGTTTCCAGAATCAGACCACCAACATCACCACTATGTCACCGCAACCACAAATTGCTTAGGTAGCTGCTAGACTGTACTGCTAATGACAAAATACGGACTGATGAAGGAAAGAAATGTTTTTCAAATAGATAAGTCTGTTGTTATCTAAAAATATTGTCATGTGGGAACCGGAGAAGTTAGAAAGAAGAAGTTTACAAAGAAATTGCTCTGGTTCTAGTATTAGATGCATGAGTTGGAGTTTCCAAGGTGTAGAGCTGGATGAATACAGCAGGCCGAGCAGCATCAGAGGAGCAGGAAGGCTGATGTTTCGGGCCTAGACCCTTCTTCAGAAATGGGGGAGGGAAAGGGGATTGTGAAATAAAAAGGGAGAGAGGGGGAGGCGGATAGAAGATGGATAGAGGAGAAGATAGGTGGAGAGGAGACTGTCTTCCTGCTCCTCTGATGCTGCCTGGCCTGCTGTGTTCATCCAGATCTACACCTTGGTATCTCAGATTCTCCAGCATCTGCAGTTCCTACTATCTCTGAGTTGGAGACTGCTGTCTACACTCAAGTAAACTCCAGTAACTGGGTTGATGTTAATGTATCATGCATGACAATGAAGCCTAGCTTGACAGTCACTTTCTGAACATCACTCCAACCCGATCCCAAGTACCAAGCATTGAACACTGCTATCAGAGATTGGAGATAAGGCTTGGCAAATTATTCAGTGAGCAGAGCTGCACAGGTAGAGTTCCTACCCCTGAACTGAGAGGCCCAGGTTCAAGCCCCACCTGCTCCAGAGGTGTGCCATAACATGTCTGAACAGGTTAGTTAGGAAAAATAGGTGCAGCAATCCCTACTCAATTATCTAATTTTGTTTAGTTATATGGGTGACAGAAAAGGAAAACAGTGAGTGACTGCACTTCCGTGATACCACAAATAACTACCTCGGTCTGAAACCTCGTTGCACCAAGGTTGGTGAGGGGAGTGAAAAAGTGTACCAGGGCAATAATTATAGGGAACTCAATTGTAAGGGAAATAGACAGGTGTTTCTGTGGCCGCAAACAAGTCTCCAGAATGGTATGTTGGCTCCCTGGTGCTAGGGTCAAGGATGTCTCAGAGTGGGTATTGGACATTCTGAAGGGGGAGGGTGAAGAGCCAGTGGTCATGGTACACATCAGTACAAATGACTTAGGTGAAAAAAGGAATGTGGTCCTAAAGGCAGAAAACAGGGAGCTAGGAAGAAAGTTAAGAAATTGCACCTCAAAGGTAGTGATCTCAGGATTACTACCTGTGCCCCATGCTAGTCAGAGGATAAATAACAGGATAAACTGGATGAATTATGTGGCTGCAAAGATGGTGTCGGGGGAGAGTTTCAGATTCCTGGGGCATTAGGACTGGTTCTGGGAGAGGTGGGACCTATACAAATTGGATGGGTTACACCTGGGAAGGACTGGGAATGATGTCCTAGGGGTGCGTTTGCTAGAGCAATTGGGGAGGGTTTAAACTGATATGCCAGGGAGATGGGAACCTATGTAAAGAGTCAGGGAAGAAGGCAGCAAGTACAAAAACAAAAGCTAGAAAAGGGAATAAGAAAAGTGATAGGCTGAGAAACCAAGGACAAGATTCAAGCAGGGCTATTGAGAAAAATAAGGAGGCAAACACTGTTAGAAGGACAAGCTTAAAGGCTTTGTGCCTTAATGCGCGGAGCGTCTGCAATAAAGTGGATGAACTTATTGCACAGATAGATGCAAATGGGTACAATATAATTGGGATTACAGAGACATGGCTGCAGGGTGACCAGGGATGGGAACGGAATGTCCCAGGGGATTCAGTATTTAGGAAGGACAGGCAAAAAGGAAACCGTGCTGGAGTGGCATTGCTGGTTAAAGAGGAAATTAACACAATAGTGAGAAAGGATATTAGCTCTGACAATGTGGAGTCTGTATGGGTAGAGTTGAGAAATACCAAGGGGCAAAAAACATTAATAGGTGTCATATATAGACACCCAAACTGCAGTGGTGATGTTGGGAATGGCATTAAACAGGAAATTAGAGATGCATGTGATAAAGGAATATCAGTGATCATAGGTGGTTTTAATCTGCACATACATTGGGCAAATCAAATTAGCCACAATGCTGTAGAGGAGGAATACCTGGATTGTAGACAGGATGGCTTTCTTGACCAATATGTGGAGGAACCAACTAGAGAGCAGGCCATCTTATACTGGGTGCGATGTAGTGAGAACGGAATCATCGCCAATCTGTGCGAGACCCCTTGGGGAAGAGCGACCTTAACATGGCAGAATTTTTTATCAAGGTGGAGAGTGAAGTTGATTTGGATACTAGGGTGCTGAACTTTAATAAAGGAAACTATGAGAATATAGCGTGAGTTAGCCTTGATAGATTGGGGAGAGTTACTTAAAGGGATGACAGTGGATAGGCAATGGCTAACATTCAAGGAACATATGGGGGAACTGTGACATCTGTCTGTTGCAAAGGCAAAATGGGTAAGAGGGCCAATCCATGGCTAACAAAGGAAATAAGGGATAGTATCTGATCCAAGGAAGAAGCATACAGATTGGCCATGAAAAATAATAAATCTGAGGATTGGAAGCAGTTTAGAATTCAGCAAAGAAGGACCAAGGGATTGATTAAGAAGGGAAAATAGAGTACGAAAGTAAGCTTGCAGGGATTGTGAAAGATTGACACTAAGAGTTTCTACAGGCACGTGAAGAGAAAGAGATTGGTAAAGACAAATATAGGTCCCCTACAGACAGAAATAGGAGAAAGTACAATAGGGGACAAAGAAATGGCTGAGGAACTGAATACATATTTTGGTTCTATCTTCACAAAAGAGGACACAAACTAGATATCAGAATTGTTGCAGCATGCAAGATTTTGTGAGAGGGAAGAACTGAGGGAGATCAATATTAGTAAAGAAATGGTTCTGGGAAAATTATGGGATTGAAAGCAG